TCATTAGTGACTTTAATAAGAGAAGTCTTAGTAGAGTGGGCGGAAGCCAGACTGAAGAGGGTCAAGGAGAAAGTTGGAATTGAGGAAGTGTCATGATTGTCATCATGCCTTCCGCAATATTTGTGTTCTTTGGTCTGGCTGGGTTTGAACCTGAGTCTCCTGCTTCCCAGGCAGTAGCCTTACCCTGGACTTCACACTTCTTTGGTTATTTTATGATGGTTCCTGGTATCCTGTTGTCTGTGTCTCCTCACCTGGACTATGCACACCTGCTCCTGATTGTGGCTGATATCTTCCTATATAAACCCCGCCTTGGATATAGCACATTGTCAGATCGTTTTGTTCCTGTTTGGTGTTTCTGCTGTTAATCTGACTCCTGATTCTTGATCCTCTGCTCATCCTTCGTTTATGCCTGATTGCCGCCTGTCCTGACCATTGATTCCTTCCCTGACTACACCTTTGGATATTCCTTGCCTGTACCTCATTCCTGGAAGCACTGGTTATTATCAGCCCCAGTACACTGTTTTGGGGATTTCTGCCTTGAGTCCCCTTGGCTGGTGTAAAATTGCAAAGGGTGCTTTAAACTCTGTTTTGACTCCCACTCAATGTAAGATCTTTACATAATGATCTGACCATGGAGTCTGCAGAGTCGAAGAAAGCCCTATCAGCCTTGATCCAGCAGGTCTCCCAGCTTACCCAAACTTTACAGGGCTTGCAGCGGGAACTGACTTCCCTAAAAGGGAAAATATCCTGCAGACCTGAATACGCGGAACCGCTGGTTAATATGCCTGAGAAATTTTCTGGAGTCTAGTGAAGTCCTGTTCTCCCTAAAGCTGATTGTGACGAGAGCAATCTCGCCACATTGCATTGGAGAAGCCTGGTTGCCCACCTGCTGCCTTTAGACTATGGCCCCATGTTGAAACGCTGGATTTTCCCCTGCAAAGACATGAAAGCCGGGTATTTGGTGCTTGCCCTGTTTGAGCGGTGATACCCCAGATAACTATGCCATGGAGCCCATTCGTATAATGAAAGACTATGGGAAAGACTTTGGCTCCATGGCAATTGAACTGTATGTGTGTGGTCTGAGCGCCATTCAGTAAAAATGTGCGCTCAGACCTAAGCTATCTGGGGATATGTTGCATGTCTGTATTTTATGTAATAAATGTAACCTTGTGTATTTTATTGTATTTTACTGTCTGTTTACTGCCATGTGCTTAATGGAGTTTTGCCTCTGTCCTTGGAGATAATTGGATTACTTCCCAATTATCTCCAGGATAGAAGACTCTGTGGAACTGGTTTTGGGCAGAAAAGCCATGCTTCCTTTGGTCACAAAGGACTACGATCTATCTTTTGAACCACTGGACCAATTTGGATGATTTTGACATATGTTTGCATTTGGAGTATGCTGATTCTGAAAATGTGGGTGGTACTAATGTGTAAGAATGTGTACATAAGCACAATAAACCCACAGCTCTGACTGTTCACTACTTGACCCTCAACATGGAGCCTTGTCTCATTCTTGGGGGGATTTATTGTATGCTGTTCCAGTTTGACTGTTGGGAGTGTAAACCTATTCGTATGGTTTTTCCTATTCGGCTGTTTACGACATTCATATGGTTTCCTATTCGGTGGATTGGTGTTCTGCAGTAGCTGTGCCTGTGTCTCTGGAAGGGGAAGATCTTCTAAACGGTGGTTTAACCCTTTTATGCTGAGGGTGCCGTTACACCGATTACCTATGCCATGGATTTTTTTAAGGTGAGGACTGTTATCACCCTGCTGTTGGGGTATCCTAAGATGTGGGCTCACCAGTTATTACTCACAAAAGATCCAGTCCTAGACTCCTGGGAGGCCTTTATACAGTCCCTGGAAGTACACTGCAATATGGCACAAAAGCCTTGTGTTTCCAGAACACCTTTAGCTACTCCATGGAAAAGGCATCTCAATCTGGAAATGGACTGCACTGCCCCTTACACAAGGACTGATGCTGTAGCTAACCCAACCGTGTCCAAGTTACCCGATACTTCTGAGATTATGTATTTGCCTACCTTGGATACCGTGGAACCCATGGAGATTGGGATGACCATATTCAGACAACCACTCCAGGAAAGGGCAAGAAGGAGGGCTAACGGTCTGTGTTATTACTGTGGGGAGAGGGGACATTTCATTAGTTTCTGTCCTATTAGCTCATCTAGGCCTCAGGTTCTCCATCTCGGTACTACTCGTACGCATCTTATGGGGCCTGTATGCCAACATGTCACCTGCCCGTGTATGACCACTCCTCAACCTCCTACAGCCGTTGCTCCTAGTGTCCTGCAGGAACCTGTTACTCCTACACCAATAGAGGATTCAGCTGCGAAAACGTCAAGTACCGCAACAGCTACTTGTTCTGTGGAAAAAGATCCTCCTCCTGGCTACACGTACACACCTGATGGGACTCTAGTAGTTATGGAACAATTACAAGACTTTGAAAGGGCACTGCAAGCCATCAATATCACTCATGCTGCTAGCTCCAAATCCAAGAAGTCAAAAAAGAAACAGTCTGGTCTGTGAGGGAGTTTTCCTCTTCTCGCCTATGGCGTTTTAAAGGGGAGGATGATGTCACGATTGTCATCGTGGCTTCCGCAATATAACTAACTTTTAAAAACCTTTTGTGATAATGATGATTTACCCCAGCGTTGCAACGCTCTTAGAAACTCTGAACACATTTCTTCCTTCATGCACAGAGAGATGGGAATGAGACCTGGGCATTACATTTAATGCAGAAAATTCATGCTCTTGACCCAAAAAAAGGCAGCGCACACAAAATCTTTACTAGAAGGTACTGCATGCCTCACAAAAAGGTTTCTTCAATTTCAGAGCTTTGAAAGAGATGCTTGAAGATACTGGGAATGATACATCTATGGTTGAAGTGGCCTTGACTTCTAAGCTTTTGGAATAATTTCCTCAAAGAGCTTCCTAAACTATTCAATCAGCCTCCCTCGTTCACTCTAGCTTTTATGCTTTAACAAATTCAGTGCTGCTATGGCTCTTAAACTAGCTAAAGTGGTGTTCCTCTCTATTGGAAAAAACATTTGCACCTTCTTCTCCTAAGTCCTATTTCCAACTGGTAGAAGATATTTGGACATCTGAAAATCTGTCAGCAAATTCTTTGGTGGCCAAGAAGAAAGATAATGCACTTTGCTATTACTGCATTGAATGCACAATCTGAGATCTGATATGTACATGGTATAGGCTCTCTTGTAATGGCACAAGTGAAAAAAAATATGGGGACTAACTGAAGGGCAAGCTACTGAGTTTCTCTAAGCTTTTGACAATTTGAGGAGTTCTCATAATCTCTGTTTTTGTATATATTCTAGATAAGGCTAGTTTTGCATATGTATGTTTTTGTTTTTATTTTTTATGAGCTGTGGAGTGCTGTTTTCTGTTAATATGTGTCAAAAATGCTTTAAATTTGTCATGTAAGTCTATTCTAACTACACATGTTATATTTGTTTGTGATACATATAAAACCTGTATATAAAACCTGTATCTTCTATTTTGTGCTATTCTTTATCTAAAAGCAAAACTTTTCTTTAATACAAAAGTCGCAATGAAACAAGAAGGATTGTTTTTCTGCAACACGCCCAGAATGCTGAATGACAATATGCATATCGTATTTAAAAAAAAAAAAATATCCATCCACATTCCAATATTTTTTAAAAAATTTTTTTCAAGTGTATGGGTGTCTGCATAAAAATAGAGGTATGGAATTATAATAAAAGACTATTTTATCACAAGCAAAGTATCTGCGATAACAATTTTATTTCAGCATTCTAGCTTCTGAGCTATATTTTAGTATACATTAAATTGTATTTCTGGGTCACACAGACTGAAGTAAAAAGATGCAGCATCATCAATCTGAAGTACAACACATTCAGAAAGGACTAGGGAGCAGCAGAAGAGAACATAGAGAATATTCGTCTACTGTGTATTTATAAATCATTATTGAGAAGTCTTGCTTTTTCCTTTTTGTTAAAGTAATTACTACAAAGCATTCCTATGTCAATAAATGTTGAAAATAATGCAGACACCAATTATTTGTTACATTTAAATACACTGGTCAAAAAATAAAGGGAACACAAAAATAACACATCCTAGATCTGAATGAATTAAATATTCTTCTGAAATACTTTGTTCTTTACATAGTTGAATGTGCTGACAACAAAAATCACACAACAATTAAAAAATGGAAATCAAAAAATGGAGGTCTGGATTTGGAGTCACACTCAAAATTAAAGTGGAAGAACACACTACAGGCTGATCCAACTTTGATGTAATGTCCTTAAAACAAGTCAAAATGAGGCTCAGTAGTGTGTGTGGCCTCCATGTGCCTGTATGACCTCCCTACAACGCATGTGCATGCTCCTGATGAGGTGGCAGATGGTCTCCTGAGGGATCTCCTCCCAGACCTGGACTAAAGCATCTGCCAACTCCTGGACAGTCTGTGGAGTAATGTGACGTTGCTGGATGGAGCGAGATATGATGTCCAAGATGTGCTCGATTGGATTCAGGTATAGGGAACGGGCGGGCCAGTCCATAGCATCAATAGCCTATATCATATATCCTTCGTCTTGCAGGAACTGCTGACACACTCCAGCCACATGAGGTCTAGCATTGTCTTGCATTAGGAGGAACCCAGGGCAATCCGCACCCCCACATTTC